CAGGTGGTAACTTGGCATCGCCTTAACCTGTTGAAATAAAGAGAAGCTTACCTCTGCCAGAGGTCCCGGGTCCTCCGCGTCCTGTCCACCGAGAACTCGCTTTAATTTATCCATTCTTCCTGATCCAGGCACTCCCGAGTTTCGCCAGTTCCGATGTCGATTCTACGCACACCAAACCACCTTCTCCAGCTTCGCAAGACTACAGCTCCCAGCAGACAGAACGTTCAGATATTCCTTAAGCTTCCGTCTTCCGCCCGGTGCCTTTCAGAGCTACTCATCCCGTCCCGCCGCTGCGATGCAGGTCGGGAAATGTAGTTGGGGTGTTTCCCACTTATGCACGTAGAAGTTTTAGTCCTGAAGACAATGCTCTTTTCTTCAGACGTTTAGCGCGGTGTTTCTCAACGTCAGCAACTGTAAGATGTGTGGACTTCAACTCCCAGCATGCTAACAGGTGAATTTTAAGTGCCGGAATCTGCACTTTAAAGTTGCTGAGGTTGACAAACACTGGTTTGTCTGACGCGGCTTTGCTTGTAAGAGGAAATGGGTACACTGTACTGTATATGTTCTGGACTATAATTGAGCGCATTTATTTTGACTGCTTTGGTTAGACAAAGTTTATGATAAAGAGAATAAGATTAATGTTTTATATGAATTGAAGGTTAATTGCAGAATGCTGTGAGAGCTATATATGGAAGAATAAATTGTCAAAAATGTATAAGGGAATATTGGAAGTACAACTGTAAAAAGAATAGATTTGATAATCTCTGATAGACTTGTGATAAACTAAAAATATCCTGGGATCAATTTTTTAGCACCTGCCTCCAAAAGTTGTGGATGCTCCATCACTGGATTTTTTTTTAATGAGATTGGAAAGCCATTTGTTTGGAATGGTATAGGGTTGAGTATGAGGTTGGACTAGATCTTCAAGGTCCCATTCAATACTGTTATACTGAATCTGTTACTGAATCTTTAATTCAGAAGAAATAAATAAATATAAAGGTGAGCCCAGATTTCCTTTTTTATTTGATGGATAAACAACTAGAAAGGAAATTTGGAATGTTGTTATTATCTATTTTTAGAGCAGGAAGAATCTTATATTACTACAAAAATGAAGAGAGACACACTTCTCACAATGGATGGTAAAGGTGATGGAGTTAGGAGGGATGGCAAAATTGACTGTTTTAGTTTTTATTTCTAGTTAGAAACTTTTTTTGACTTTTCTCAAAATTTAAGAAAATGAAACATTGGTTTTAGGTTTCAATTATTACACTGATTTTGACTTGGAATGTTATGAAATGAGAGCAAAAGGTTGATGTATTATTTCTGTATGTTGCATTATTTATTGGGATATATTCATATTCATACTTTTTATCAGTTTCTCCCCCTGAACCAAATTTGCTCCCATTCTGTTTTGGGAGACTTACCCCACTGACAGAGTTCCAAATGTACTTTACTGTATATCATTTATTTTCAATATTCCATTAGATTTGAAACAATAAACAGTGATTAAGTTATGGTAGAAGCAGCTATGATAAAATAAGGATCTGTAAAAATAAACATTTACGAAGTGATATTTATGAATTTATAAACTCTTTTATTCAAGAGGACTCTGCATTGTTCAAAACCATATGTTCGTATAACCTAGTGTTAACTTGTTTTTCTTACTACATTGTGGAAGGACAAAGTGACATGAGATTTTTATGTGCAAAAAGTCAAGGATGCTTTTCTTCTTGATGGTCTGACTACATGCTCAGTTTAGGCATATAGACAATTACAGCAAAAAATAAAAAGTTTGAACTCCTTAAAGAATCATAAGCAAGCTGTTACATAGATTTGTGGAATTAAAGTACAGTATTAAAAATACGTCAGCAGGTATATGGAAAAGAGCTTTTCTTCTAGGTTTGGCAGCAGATACTGCTGGAGAGGCAATGGGATAGAACATTAGGGGAGAGGACTACAGAAACTTGCTATTTTTTTACCTTTTTCTGTGCTTTGCTTAAAATTATTTACCCTGAAGGGAATAATGTGATGGACACCTCTATATTCTTTAGTGAGACTACTAGCATCAAAAATTTACACCATTACTGCTGTAATATAAAAATTTTCTCCATTGGTGACAATCACAATAATGGATTATCCAACAAATTATCAATAAGGTTATACTCCAAGACAAAATTATTGTTCATTTTACATATTCATGATTTATTATGTCATACTGAAGGAAAGTAAGAACACAGGGTTACTAAGCCATGCTTAGCTTTAATATACTGTAATACTCTATTCCCACGCTGAATGGATTTTTCCTATGGAGTCCCTTCATATTTTTAATGTTTTTATCTTCAATTTTATCTGAAAATTGAAGCAGAGTCCAAGGAAAATAGATAAAATGTGTGCAGTACTTTCAATGTTGAATTTATGTTTACTGACAAAGAAACAAAGGGTGACTAGTATAGAACTATTTCAAGCTTTTTAGCTATCATCAGCTAGCTGTGTACCCTTCTGGGATGCGAACCGAAATGTTTGTCGGTAAACTTAAATTCAACACAAAAATAGTTTAGCGCGAAAGTGACTGCCTGTGAAGGCTTCTGGATTGGGGCTGAAAGGTGAAAGCTGAAGCAGTATGCTCCGCCCCATAATTGGGTAGATCAGGCTGCCCTGATAGACCAGTCCTACCGGAAAAACATTCAGTACTTTCAATGTTCAAATGCAACACTGTAGCTGAAATCCCATTGAGTCTCTTCAACACCCATCAATGATGGTGTGAGTTTTCCTCTTGATGTAATCAATAGTTCTAGCATAATTATATATTAATGACGTATATGGGAGAAACAAGTATGGTGATTTTCCATACTTCGTGTAACCTACCTTCACATATTGCATAAATTCTTATCAATAACTATTTGAATATTGTAGAACTAGGTTAGCTACAATTAAGCAAGAGTTCTCCAGAGGATATTAAACTCAATTCTACTCTAGCCAGCAGGGTAAAATGATGACAAACCAGGGAATGGAATACCATTCTGGAATTAAGGCATGGGTTGGCAATAACGTAAGGCCTTCCCCATCAATGACTCTTCACCAAGTTGTCTAGGCTTGTTGAGAACATCCAGTAAGCAAAATAATATTGATCATCTTAACTCACTTAGAAGTTCGTGAGTTAAAAGTTTCTTCTCCATGGACAGCCAAGGAGCAAGTCAATTAAAGCTTAAAGATCAACCTGACTCTTAAAACAAATTTTTTCTTCCATTCCATTGTGTCCAATTCTCAGAGACTGGCTGGACATGTCCCTGTAGCTTCCTTGGCAGTTTTTCAAAAGTGGTTTACCATTGCTTCCTTCCTAGCATGGACAGAAAGTGACCAGCTTAAGGTCACCCAGCTGGAACCAGAATTCATGTCTCCCAATTTCTAGCCTGATACTTTAACCATTACACCAAACTGGTTCTCTATTACAGGAATTACATGCCAACAAATCTGAAGAAAATCAACTTGAAGAAAATATTTTTTTAAGTTAAAAAACCCCTTTCTTATGGTAATATCTAAAATGAAAGTGAGATGCTAAATGCAACTTTTTTATTTTGTGACTGAACACAAACCCATTACATGTTTCTGACTAAACAATATAAGCCTTTTTCATGCTTACAAGAGTACAACTTTAGCCAATAGTTCTGCACAAGTGCTATTGAAATGAAGGGATATACAATATAGCTTCCATTAACTTTAAAGTTGTAAATATTGATGGTATATTGTACCTTTTGAAGGTATGAATTTGGTTAATTTCACAAAGAAATGTTTACAAGAACAAATCCCACACAGGAGATTTCACTACTGTTAAATGTCAAGTAGAACATGCATGATAAGGATCCAGGGATAAGGATCCAGTTTTCTCTCCCTTTCTGGTCTGTTATATGCAACTATTGTTGTAGGACAAATAGAATAAATTTAGCTTCTTGAAAAATTTTAAAATATGACTAATTTTATATTTGTTAAGTGTTGTTTGCCCTTGTTTTTGAAATCTTTTTGCTTGTTTCTTCTTCTATTTTATCCCAATCACTTTTGTAGTCTAATCATCAGTTCTGTTTTGTTATATGACTACAAGCATGACTAGCTATGAAGTATAAACAGTTAAAGCTCTCTCAAAATATAGGATTGATGTATTTTTCTTAATAAATTATGTAGTCAACATATGTATTTGGGAAAAATACTCTTTTTCAAAACAAAACAAATCCCTGCCTGGCTGATTTCTTAGCTATGCATCTATGTTAAAGTAGTGAACATCCAATGTTGTTTCAGGGAAGGCTTAGTAAAGTTTAAAAACCTAGAAGCTAACCAATATCTTAACACACTGACTACATAAGGCCCAATGCAATTTGTTGCTAATTTAATGGACACTGAATTAGACTGCCTTATATTAGTACTTCTGAAAGGGTTAGTTATTTGGCTTTTTCAAGTAAGAAAATTGAAACACAGAATAAAAAAGGATGAAACAAGCAGTCTTATTGATTTTCAAATTCTTCTCTCTTGAGGCAATAGATAAGAAAAATCATATCAGAGAAATGTATGTATTTACACTGTATCAGACTGAGAATTTGTATGAGACTATAATATATGAAAACAAACCTAAAATTTATTATTCTGTTATTACCAAATCTCAAATATTATTTTCCCTGTGTCAAATATAAGAGGATGGATATACCAAAATGTAGGAATTGAAAATGAGTTTTAGAAATAAACTGATGAAACAACTTCTCTACAACAGTTCAGTTTATCTTCTATAAGAAATATATGAATGGTGCAGTTTGATAACTATTTTATAAATATATGTGCAATAATTTTTATCAAAAATACTGATAACTGAAAGTATGCATGTCTGTCAGAGTTGCAATAGCCAATACTAGTATTTTATATTGTTACAAATATTATGAGTTTACTTTTTGTTAACAATGTAATCAATATAAACTTGCAATTTTTTTAAAAGGAGGTAACTTCAGGTTGACAAGAAGGAGCATTAACAATTTTAATCTATGATACCATATTAACATCTAATTTATGACCAAATGGTAGGAATCAGGCAAAAATGGATTCTATTGTTATCTGTACTTAGTCAACTTATTATGTAGCTTGTTTGTTTTACAATTAATGAATGATTTAGCTTTGTTTAGAAGGTAACAAAGCTCATATCTGATAAGACAGGCAGCAAGCAAATGAGGATTATTAAGAATACCATTCAATATACATTAAATGTAATGAACTGAAATTTCAAGCATCAATGATCTTCAACAAAGTAATCAAATTTAACCTAGAGAAGAAACATAATTATTTTCTTTCACACTATATGAAACACAAGTCCTTTTATAACAAAAGACTATGTTAAAACAACATCCTTAAAAGTTACTGCGCTTATGAAGGACTATTGTATTGTTTTGATTTTTGAACATCTCTGCAGTTTCTTGAAATGTTGCATACTTTAATATAACTGATCCTGATTTGGGATCTTAATCTCCAATATCAGAAACGGCAGTTTCCTATTACATCAGAGCATTTTCAAAACAGAGACACAATGAAGGTACAGGAAAAACTCCCAAGGCTACAGACATTTTAGCCAGGCCTCTTTACCCATCATCTTCACTGCTAAGGGCCAAGAAGATAAGAACAGGATCTATATCAAGTTCATCAGATTATGCCGATCTCATTAAGTGCCTTCTGGTGCAGCTGCAGATTCACGGCATGAGTTCTCAGGAAATTCCAGCTTCTCACAAATATGCTCCTTGACAGGCAAATACTGAGCAATCTCATTAGGTTCCGTGAACAGTGTTGGGGGAATGTGCTTGAAATAGGAGAGAGATCAGTATTTAGAGAGCAACAAAAGAGAAAGTATATATAAATATAAATGTAGGTTAATGTTACATTAACATGTTTGGCAAATATTCTTTTAATTACAGATTTTTGTTTTCCAATGTTTCCTCCTCTTCTATTCTGAAAACCGGACAGCTACAGAAGAGTGAAATGAAATTGCTTACTTATTTATATGGTCTCCCAATTTGCATTTACAACTCGGAATGAAATTGTGCTACATAACAAATTATTACACTAGGGACAGTGGCGTGCTAGAACAGGAATTTCTGGAATTTTGTGAGGTGATTGAGAGCAGAAATGAGCCTCAATACCTAGCATGCACTGTTCCACAGCCAGTAGACCAAAGGAACAGTGATGGCAATAGACATTTAGTATTAATGTCACAATAGCAATGTACACCACTGACTAGAAACAGAATCATATGAATTGTAAGAATTTGTTTACCAAATCTTTTCCCATGTTATATAATTTTAGAGGTTCAGCTGTGTGCCTGAGATTAAATAATGGAATAAATAATTACAACAGGAACTAAAGTTGAATCTTTTGAATAAATACTAGCCCTGCACACACAAATACACTTGAGTGGTCACAAGAATGAAGAGCTACTACCAGTGTTTCCCCAAAAATAAGACCCGGTCTTATATATATTTTACTCCAAAATAAGCAGTAAGGTTTATTGGGGGGGGATGCCTTATTTTTCTCTTATGTACAGGAGACCCACTTCTGCTTGCTCGCAGCCACAACGGGGCAGGAGGCCATGTGACATGCCAGTTGCTACACAAAAGCAAACAAACTAGAAGAGGAAAATGGTTGAATTGTTCAAGTCATACAAATGGACCCACTCAGTAATCTCAATAGAATATAACTAGAAGTTTTAAGATATCAGGTAGAATATATATTTCTATTTTTCAAAAATATTAATACCTTTAGATTTGATACTTTGCTTTCCCTAGAAGTATATTCCCGCAATATGTATGATTTGTTGGCCTATTAAAAAGAAAGCAGATAAATTGTATTTTCATAACAGTGAAACAGATTTAATATGTACATATTGTTTCAAATAAAATGAAATTTCTGTAGTACAAAAGTAATCTATTGCAACACTAACAAAGAATCCTGTTATGATATCCAATAAAGATGCTGTAAATCTAGTATTATTTACAGATACTAATAAGCCAACTACATTCATGCTGGAAATAACATATGTGGATCCACATGCCATCTTAAATCTGGTAAGATCCATACAGGATGTACTTGGGTAGTATATTTCTATATACTGAATATTTGTATTTTAAAATATACTGTACAGATGGAACGTACACAGTATTACAATAATTGTACTACAGACACTATATAAATTAAAAAACTAATAGCTGCATATCTCATTCCTAATATTTTTAGGCCTACTCAACAAAAGCCAGGTACAGAGAACAAGGCAGAGAGATCTTTGGGATTTATAGAAGTCTATTCAACTGGTTATACAAAAAACGGCTAACAAAGCTGCAACTATCATATTTCTAAAATTAGAGACAATAGTGTACGTGTATTAGCAAATAAAATGTCAGTTCACATCAAGGTATACCCCGTTTTTATGACTTTTTCAACCAAATGTTCACATTAAGATTTTCTTACCTCATGATAAACTCTTGTATCATTCATCCTAATAAGAACTCCATCAACTCGCAGGAAAAACCTCAACAGCACAAAAAAACTGGAAGGCATTACTCTCTGTCAAACATAGCAAGAATAATTTGCACTTGCACACATTTAAAATAGATTACTCTAACAGGTAATTAAAAACATGATAAATGTCTTAAAAGCCTACATTAGTCAATAGTATTACATTTCAAATAACTTTTAAGAAGATAATCTTAATAGATCTTAATTTCCTGCAGGCATAAATACATGATCAGAAAAATTTATCAGTTTTGTATTTTTATAAGTCTGGGAAAATGTCAGCAACGATGATATTACTTTTAGTATACAGGTAGTGTGTGTATTATATAAATTTTTGTATAGAAAGTGTTTCCTGCATCATCTTAAAATCAATATTTTGCATGTTGGCAATGACTCATTTATATCCTCATATCATTTAATTAATTATTTAATTATATAATTCCAAGTAAATAAAAGATTATTTGAAATTTAAACAGGAAAACGGCCCAAAGAAACAAATTTAAGGAATATTAACTTTGTGAATCTCTCAATTCTATATTTTTCTGCATTTTATACAATTATGGAAGAAGCATGTAAAAGATTACTGGACTCACAATTTTGACACTCAGACTTGAAACCCCATGATCGTGAAGTTCATCTTCAAACAAGAGCACTTCTTCAAAAAACATTATCTGTTCTTTGGCTTTTAACTTTTCTGTATCTATATGTTCTGTTGTGGAAGAAACCTAGAACAATACAGTAAAAATTAAATGTTCTTTCTTATATAATTGATTCCCCAACTGTTCAACAAATTCATTCTTGCAAATAGTTGACCATCACAATCATACTTTTAACTTTAGTGTTTCACCAAGCAGAGTTCCTTTATAGTCTGTTGTGTAAGTCCAATCATATGGTTTAACAATTTCCTTTGTGTGTTCAGGCTCCGACCTACAGGAAAAGACAAATATAGCATATTAGATACAGGACCAGGCAAAAAGTATTGCTACACATCTATTTTACAAAATACATCAAAGATGATTCTATAAATCAATATGCATCTGTAAACTGATAGATTTAATGTGCTAAGAGAGAAAATGTGGTAAAGACATTGCAGTATTTTTTAATACTATTAAAAAAAAATCTTTACTACAGAAGCAACGTAGCCCCCTTCACTTCTTCCTGCTTTTATGCTTATTCTTATAATTATGTGCATTGTGACCTGGAAGTAAATTCAGTTTCAATCACCCAGAAATAACATGTATAGGATCATATGGTAGCTGTTCAAAGATGAAGCAAAATATTGGATATTTCATCAGGATTCTTCATCAGACAATCTGATATATTTATACAATTATATTTGTGCAAGACCACATGTGCTTCAGAGTTAACAGATTAACCATAATTTCAAAATATTTAAAGGTAAAGATTAAAGATTAATTTTTAAAAGTACAAGTACCATTCATAGAATACATAGGAAAAAAGGAAGGCTAAATAACTGTGAAGATCACATATCAAATGAACAACATAAATACAAATAATTGCTTTAAAAGAATTTCAGATAAGTATAAGAACTGAAGCAGTTTGGAGAATCAGATCTGAAGGATTACACAGCTTCCAAAATCATTCCTTAGTGCCCATCAAGCTATACTATTTAAAAAAACCCACAAATAAATATGCTATTACCTGCTTTCTTGCCACTCTTCTGCACAAGCAACTTTAACCATTCCTTGGGTGTTATTTACACATTTTAAAGCATCAGTTGCATTGAACTCTATGCCAAAGAGCAGTTCATGCTGAATTCTTAGGATATTGTCACCAAACATCATTTCTGGAACGCATGGCATGTGCAGTTCTTCAGCTAACCTACACAGACACAAGATTAGATTATTTTGGAGCTGATTTTATAATTTAATTTTATAATTTAAAATAAAGATGTCTATTTTACTATAGACTATTTTAGTATACATTTATTACATATTTGAAATTAGCAGATGGATGGCTTCCCTCTTTTCTCCCCAAATCCTAGACAGCTGTGAGTCACTCTTAGGGATGATGGAAGGTAAAAATTATGTGTATTTAGTACGTAATTCTAATAACAAATATAAAATCAAAACAGCAATCTAATACGGTTTGTCAAATACAAGTCAATAACAGCCTAAGAGGAAATAGACACAAAAACATATATACAAAGTTATTCATATATTTAGAAAGAGCATCGCTACAGAGTGAAAAGTACAGTATATTGAAAATAGATTGATATGGGGATATAAGTTAAGAGAAACTGTGATTTTATAGAATTGTCTAACAAAACAGCTTAATTTTAAAAGTCTGAAAAGTATTCTACAAAGGAACCACTAATCATACTAAATACTTCACTGCTAACTCTGTAGATAAGAAGCAGGGGGGGGGGATCAATATCTTAGTGGTAGACTGCACTCGCCATGTCTCAACTTTCCATTTACTGCATATTATTACAAATCTTTGGCAGAATTACAATGGGGGAGGGGAATTGTCATGCATTTGTAGCAGGGATTCTTCAACATTTTACCATCACACTTCTTTTTTGTATAATCTTAAGGTACACACTTCCCCTAAAAATCAAAGACCAAAATATACACAGATGGATAATAAGTGGAGGGGGGGAAGCAATGACATCTTGACAGAGGTAGATTTATGAAACTCAAAGATTCTTCACAGCTCCCCTGCACTCTGCCTATACCTCCCTAAGGGTGGTACACCTCATATTTGGGAAGCTGCTACTTTAACAACCCAAACTATTCCTGCAACTATGACTACAAACCTGGACTGCACAATTCCAAACTTCAGCACCCTTAACTGACAGCACAGAGCCAGAAAATTTATGTTGCTAAGTGAGAAACTTGCTGAGTTTTATTCCATTTTACAACTTTTCTTGCAGAATTGTTAGGTGAAACACCGCAGTTGTTAAGTGAATCTGGTTTCCTCATTGACTTTGTTTGTCAGAAGGTTGCAAAAGGGGGCAACCCCATAACCCAGGGATACCGCAACTGTCATAAATGTGAATCAGTAGCCAAGCATGTGAAATGTTGATGACTTGTCCATGGGGAGGCTCCAACGGTCGTGAAAAACGGCCATAAGTCACTTTTTTCAGTGCCCTGTTGCAACTTTGGACGGTCACGAAGAGAACTGTTGTAAATCGAGGACTATCTGTACCAGGCTAAAAGCAGCAAGCGGCTTTCTTGTGACGCTTGCCGAGCACAAGGCAAGCGCCCACCGCCCACCCCTTTCTCTTACAGGGGCCGCCACCTCCCCCTCCCCACCCCCAATAGTCACGCCCAATCGCACCTCTCGGCATCGGCCGACTTGATGATGTGGGTCCGAGCGGCGGTTAGCTTCCACGGCCCGAAGGCAAAGTCGCGACGGCTGCTTTTGAAGACGGGCATCATAATGGCGGCGTCAATCCCAAGGCGGCCAGCATAGAGACGGGAAAGCTTCCTTCGGCAAATGACAAGAATAAAGCCCCGGATAGGAACCTCGCAAACAAACGACCTCAAGCGCCTCTTCCACACGCAGCAGCAGCAGCGGTACCGCCCCAGTCAAGCATGCCGCTTCCGCTGCCGGGTTTTCAGGCCTCTGTTTGAAATGAAAAGGCTTCAGAAACTCGCCTTCCGGTTCCTGGTCTCTGTAGGGGCGGCTTTTCAGGAGCGGAACACGTGTTTAAAAGTTGACTCAAAAGAATTCATCAGTTTTTCCCCCTTATTGTACTTGTTGCAGGGCATTGAAATAATTAAGGCCTCTCCGCAGGAAAAACTGCAAGCATCTATGCAGCGAAAGGGCAATTAGGTTATTTCTCCAGTACGTTTTCTGTCAGATATTGTAAGAGGAAAGCGTTGCTGGTCTGTGGTCATCAAAACCCAGAAAGAAAGAAAAATTAAACTTAAAAAAGGGGGGAAACTTCAGAAATGATAGGGAACCAAACCCTGCGTTATCTAGTGCTGAAATCAAGAGTGTAATCTATATGCATCCCTACCGTTAAAATGAGCTTTAATGATACCTTCTGTAGATAATAAATCATATAAGGGTTTGAAAAGGTTTGGGGTGGTTTTTTTTCTTAAGAGAATGGAAAAATGGATAGTCCTGTTCTATTGGAAGAAATGTCCTTCTGAGTTCACTTCCAAGTGGGGGAAAAGACACTTGAAACATGGAGGCTGCTTGGAAAGATGGTTTTAATGATGCACAGGACCACATGGTTTGAGGTCCTGGGGAAAAAGGCTCACATGCTTCAAGATGTTGAGTGAAGAAGAAAAAGAAGGGGCTTGCTGAGAGTTCCTGAATTTTTTATACTCTGTGTTCAGCAGGGGTGGGTTGCTAATCCCGTTCCAACCGGTTCAGTTGGAACGGGGCTGGCGGCGTCCTCGTGCACGCGTGCAGTTCACGCATGCGTCTTAGCGCCTGCACGATACTCCAGCTGCTCGCGGAGACTCACGCAGGCACTGTATGTGCCATGCGCCTGCGTGGAAGCGCAGAAGCCTTCAAAGACCGGTAAGGAGGGCGGG